GTTACTTTCCTTTCTCCAGGTGATTCTTTCTGTTGCTGCGTTAATTGTGTTATTATTGCGTTTTTTCCAGCTTTTCTCGATGTTATCGCTTTCTTCGATATTTTCTTGTTTAAGGTAATTGTAATGTATTGGCAATGTAATTATAAACCACACTCGCGACGCTCATGTATTGCTAATTATCGCATTATATTTCAGTTACTGGTAAAATAATAAACGAATTGTGTTTGATAGGTAGTCAAATAAAGATTTGTTTTGGATTCATCTAAGTGTTTTTGTACCAAACATTTCATGGCGACGAGGATAAGAACGTTTTTAAATTGTGTATAAGTGAATACAAAATGTCGAAAGACGGGAAATTAGATTTATCGTTAAATTTGAAATTTAATCCCAGAACTTGTGAATGGAATGTGTTTATAAAAAGACTAGAACAATATTTCATCGCTAAAAAAAATTAAAGATGTTAATGTTAAAAGAGCTATTTTGTTACTTGTACTTCAGTAAATGGTGACGTATTGACTGGAATATTAACTAAGAGTCTGGTACAATGATCAGTTTTTTGCAGCAATGAATAATGTACCAATTTAAGGGTTTCGTCAGCTATAACAATAAATCAAAATAGTGAGTTATAGATGATTATTAAATGTGCCCCAAATTTATTTAGTACTGATTAGAAAATTATCTAAGTTAGCCAAGGGTGATAGGATGTTAAAACATCTACATTAAAAATAAGGTTGTACCATGAATATATGAATTATTTTCTATATTTTTTAAAACCCTCCGTTAGAAATTAGATCTTAGTTTTTATCATTTAAAGTTTGTTTTGAAATAAGAATATAATGGTACAATAAGGAAACAAACCTTTAGAATATGTGAAAATCTTCCCATAGATCGGTGGCACAGTTATTGCTACTTGAGGCGTCCGAGTAGCCATGGCAACGTTTTCCAGAGAGAGCGCGCACACTTGACGAAGGTGTTGAAGTATGTGACGTCATTTGCTCCTCCGGTGCAGGCGACGGCTCGACTTGGCACTTTCCCGACGCCCCGACGCCACCCTGTCACAGACAACTTGATATTTACGTTGAGTAACGTGGCTGGAAGATGTAAACACCACTAATTTCTAATTGGAATAGGGATAATAGATTTACACTGCAGGATACTTCAGATTTTGAAGGGTTCGTGGAGGTTGCAGATCCTGGAAGTTTATAGTATTGTGCTTTCGGTTTCATTATATCGTACACCAAAATATGTTTGAAAATACTGCAAAACACAAATTTCTTTTTCTTCTTATTTTATTAGTAGTATTCTGGTATGTATTGTAAGAAAGGTTTGATATTATAAGTATAGTAAAATAGGTAATAAAAATTTAGCTACTTAGACATAATATGTAGCATTTTACACTGCCGTCGCATGGGAGTTTATTACAATTTTATGTGGAAAATTTCGTTTAAAGACGTCACAAATACAGTATAATTTTTTTAATTGCTAAATTTAACTTATTTATTATTCCGTTTATTAAATTGTTATTAATTATCATCATCAGCCGTTTTGAGTCCACTGCTTGACATAGGCCTCTTGTTAATAATTCCAATACATTCTATCTTGAGCACCCTGAATCCAGTTGTGCTGAATGCGCTTGATGTCATCTGACCACCTTTTTGGAGGACGTCCTCGATTACGATAAGCATCGTGTCTAGGATTCCATCCAGAATTTTCTTTCTATCTTCCATCTTTTAATCTGGCAACATGCCCCACCCAGTTCCATTTCAATGTGGTAATCCTTTGAACTGCGTCAGTAACACCAGTTTTTCTCCTAACTATTGTATTTGATACTCTGTCTCCGAGGAATATATTCAGCATTGACGTCTCCATCGCTCTCTGTGCCACTTGTATTTTATTACTTTTCTGGTAAAGGTCAATGTTTCTGCTCCATACGTTAGAACTGGGAGTACATATTGAACAAAGCCCTTCCTTTTCAAGTATATGGGAATATCTGATCTAAAGACTTCTCTCAGTTTTTCGTAAGCCGCCCATGCCATTCCTATTCTCCTGTTTAGCTCCGTTATTTGATTATCTCTTCCCAATTTAATCTCGTGGCCCAGATATTTATAACTATACACCTGTTCAATTTGCGTGCCGTTAGTTGAGATGTTTTTCGCCAGTACAAAGTTGGTCATATATTGTGTTTTGGAGAAATTAATTTTAAGTCCAACTCATGTACACGAGTTCTGAACGTCTTGAAGAAGCTGGCAGGCATGATCTACACGGTCTGCAATAAGGACTATGTCGTCTGTAAATCTTAAGTTGTTCAGAAATTCTCCATTTATAGTGACTCCAATATTCTCCCAATTATTGTTTCTCATAGCACTCTGCAACAAAGCGGTGAATGGTTTAGGAGAGATGGTATCTCCTTGCCTAATACCCCTTCCGAAGGGAAATGTATTTGTGTTGCCATAATACATGCTGTTGCGCTATTATATATATATATATATATATATATATATATATATATATATATATATATATATATATATATATATAACGTAAAAGCACCGTATACCGTCCAGTCTCCCAATTCCGTCCGACAAAGAAATTGTGCTCTATACCTCAGAGTTTCGTCTCAATCAGACGGCCGAGTAAAATTTTTGATAGGTTATATCCCCACTCATCCTACCTTTAGCACGTAGACATTTTACGTTCAGTGCTGTCAATGCAGTTCAGTTCATTGCAAGTGCATGTGTTGTTTCAAGCGATACTGATTCCAAAAAAACATAAAGGTAAGGAATACTTATTTTCCATATTTTATAGATACTACGTTTAACACTTATGTTTTTACTTTTTTATTTGAATCTTACATATTTATTTATTGTAAATGTACATATATTTTCGTGATTATTTTCGAACAATAGATTTTTTAACAGAAATTAAAGTGGACGGAATAGGGTAATTTAGAATATCAAGGTGTCCTTGTTACCGTCCTACCGGACGGTATTAGGAATTAACTCCTTCAGTTTCAAACGCTTTTTAAATAAAAGTCTTAGTTAAATAATATAATCCAGCATATTTTCAACATTTTAAATGTTTTGCTCCGTTTAAAAACCTGAATACGACCTAGAATAGGTACAACTCATTTTAAGAAAATTAGTGTCAAATATTAAGTGCATTCGAAAATTCTATTTAAAATTTAACTCAAGAAGGATGCATTTATTACCTATTCTAGATTTAATGTGTAAGTTTGGTTTAGTTTTAATTTGTAAAAAATGTTTATGGTATTTCTCTCTCTCAGTTTGTATTATCAAGTATGATAAAATGACTATCTAATTAGTAAAACACTCATTTAAAGGAATTGGACGGACACAGGAACCTTCGGGCCTGTATCCGTTCAGGTTGAACAGACAGAACTATTTTAAACTCCTGTAACCGACCCCATAAAATATTACTAATAAAAGATTTTTGTTTCAGTTTTTTATTATCTGCAAGTATGGTATACAAAAATCGTATGAAGTATCCTTGAGAGAATATCCAAAAAGCTATAGAAGATATTAATTTAAAACGTTTAAGTATTCGACAAGCCTCTAAAATATACAATGTTCCTAAAAGTACTTTGTTAGATACTATGAAAGAAAAGTACAAAAATCCAGGTAATATTGGAGGGCCAACAGTTTTGTCCAGTTCTGAAAAAGACTTGATTGTAAAATGGATAATCGAAATGGGCAACGTGGGATTCCCGTTAACAAGATCTCAACTTGTTGATTCTGTTTCAAAACTAATTCAAAATTTGAAACGAAAAACCCCATTTAAAAATTACATACCTGGTAAAAAATGGTACAATGGTTTTCTCGCTCGTCATCCAGAAATTTCAAAACGTGTTCCACAATCACTATCTTCTTGTAGAGCCGCAGTTACGGAACAAAATATAAAAAATTGGTTTAACCAAGTTCGGGATTATATGACAAAAATGAATTATTTACATATTCTTAAAGATCCCAAAAGAATATTCAATTGTGATGAAAGTGGTTTCTATTTATCCCCTCAAGAAAAACAAGTTTTGGTTAGAAAAGGTGCGAAAAAGGTATACAATCGCATAGCTAATGACGAAAAAGAATGTCTTACAGTTTTGCTAACTGTTGGAGTTAATGGTTCTGTGCCTCCGCCATTAGTTTTGTATCCCTACAAAAGGTATGTGTCAGCTGCAATAATAACGAACATGCCAAAACAGTGGGGAATTGGGCACTCTGAATCTGGTTGGATGACAAGTGAGACATTTTATGAATACGTTACAAATGTATTTTTTCCCTGGTTGGAAAAGAACAGTATTCCACTCCCAGTGATATTGTTTCTGGATGGACACTCTTCCCACATCAATCTGCCTATTACTGAATTCTGCAAAGAAAAAGGTATCATTTTAACAGCATTTTACCCCAACGCAACTCACCGATTACAGCCGTTAGATGTTGGTATTTTTTATCCCATTAAAAATAACTGGCGAAAAGATGTTCGATCTTGGCGTATGGAGAATAACGGAAGAAAACTTCAACGAACTGAGTTTGCAAAACTCTTAGACAAAACTTTGAAGGCTACAGTCTGTACATCAATAATAAAAAGTGCATTTGAATCATGTGGACTCTTTCCGTTCAACGAAAATGGCATTGATTATTCAAAATTAATAAAACCAATAGAACAAAAAGATTCTGATGATAAAATAACCGAATCCACATCCACTACACCTGTTAATGTTTATGATTCTGAACTACTTCGAGAGGTAGAGATACGCTTAAACCCAGAAATTGTTAACAGTTTTAAGATTGCTGAATCAGCGGCCCAACTAGAAGAAAAATATGTAGCATTGTATGATTTCTGGAAGAGTCTTCATCCACAAAATGTCGATCACGATACAACTTTGGAAAACAATTTGCCGATAAATGCTGCTAACAACACCATTGCTGACATACACCTCGATGAAAACTTTTGGTTTCGCAATAATGATACAATTAAAGCTACAGTCAAAGCAGATGGAGCATTGGTCTTAATTCCTTCACAGAATAGCAATTCTTGTTCGCCAAAACCTGGTCCATCATCATCCAAGGACAATGATTCTGAGAAAATAGACTATTATTTAGCAGTAAGTTCACTCCAAGAAAAAACACCACTTAAGAACAAAGTAGTAAACAAAACTCCTTGTAGTAGCCCATTAAAAGATGATTCAATAGTTTATTCTGATCAACAAAGGCAAGTACAAAATCAAGAAAAAACCCCACTTAAGCAGATTACAACATCAGAGAATAATAGTAAATATCCAACATCTTTCAAAAAAGCATTATTTTGGCCGGAAAGCTCTACAAGGAAAAAAAATAGCACAGAAGACACCAACGAAAGGAAAAAACCAAAGATTTATCCTACAGTAGCTATAAGTGATGAATTTATGGAACATCAACGAAGACTCAAAAAAGAAAAAGAGGAAAAAGAAAATGAGAAATGTGAATGAATCCGAAAGAGAAAAGAAAAAACAGAGATCCAACAAGCAAAAAAGAAAAATTGTCCTCCAAAACACACACCAGGCATAGTTACTGGTAATAATATTACGGAAAACATAAATAAAAAGAATATAGAAATATATTCAAAGGACGATTTTGTGTTGGTGCAGTACGACAATGAATATTTCCCTGGTGTAGTTCTGGAACGAGGCAATGATAATTTAAGAGTTAAAAGTATGACTATGAGTGGAAAGTACTGGAAATGGCCAGATAGAGATGACATTTTAAATTATGACTTTGATGATGTAGTTTGTAAGATTGCGAGACCTTTGCTCATAAATAAACGCGGCGCCTATGAAGTTCCAGAAATTGAAAGCCTAAAAAAATAAAGTCTTCTTTTTTATTATTTAATTCATTTGCAGACATTAAGTTCTTTTAAAAACTTATTCTTAAAGGGTTTTTTTTGTCAAAACTAAATAAATAGGACGGATAACGGCACCCTTGTGGACGGAATTGGGAAAAAATCATTCTTGTGGACGGAAAATGGATATTTGCGAAATATTTGCATTTGGTTTCTTCAATAAGCAATTTTGTTGAAACGACTAGTGTTATTATTATAAATTTGGCTCTACTAAGAATTAATAATGCATACTAGCTTATAGACATGTATTACTTTAAATTTCAATGATTCGGAATTGATCTTTCAAACAATTTTATATATACCACTTATAACCGGTCGGAATTCGGTGCTCTTACGTTATATATATATATATATATATATATATATATATATATATATATTATATATATATATATATATATATATTGACGAAGAGTTGTATACCTATGATCAATACCACACTCTGTAAGAGCTCTTAACATGGACCTATGCTGGACTGAGTCAAACGCTTTCTCAAAGTCCTTTCTCAAATTTATAAAATAACTGTGATTTATAACACAATGTACAACATTTCATAACTAAATGTAATTTAAAGGGTTTTTACCCTAATATTTTGGTGGCTCAGGCATTATGACCTAGTAAGTATAACCATCTTTTGCTTTTCAACCATAGTCAAAATTTCAAAATCTCGTTTGTTTTAACTAAATGGTTTATACTTATTTTTAGGCATTTTCGATTTTAATAACCTGATGATGGACTGTGTGGTCCGAAAACGTTTGTTTTATTGATGTGGCCCTTTTAAGGGTTTTTTAAATAAATATACCCATTTACAAAGATTAACCTCTTTTTGTTATACGTGGTATACAGCCAGCTACAGGAATTTTTCCTTGTGGATTTTTTTTAAAAATAAATATATACAAGAGTATGGCGAGATCTGCATTGGTGTACGGCGATGAAGTGTGCCCTGTAAAAAAGATTCAGGAAAAGACGATGGAGGTAGTTGAAATGAAAATGTTACGGTGGATGTTGGGTAAGAATAGAAGGGACAGGATCAGGAACAACTTGATTAGGGAGAGAACCGGGTTGACTACAGTTTAAAAAACTATTTAAGAACAAAGACTGCAATGGTTGCAAAGAAGAGGTGCAGCAAAAACAAAGAAAAATATTGAAGGACTGTGTGGTAAAGGAAATGAAAGAGAAAGGTTGGGGTGAAGAAGATTCGATTGACAGAAATGAGTGGTGACAAAGAGTAAGTAACAGCGACCCCCAAAAAACGATAAGTTGAGGAAGAAGAACTATTTTGTCCTAATTAGCTTTAAACCTTTTTCTTTAAAAACTTAACTCTACGATTCCAGTTATCATGTAGGTCCCTTCCAGTATTTAATATTAACACTACATATTCAGCATACATTAAGCACTAAGGAATGTCGCTTTTAAATTTTCTAATATCTGATCTAACACTAATGAGAATAAACAAACAAAACAAACAAATTTATCATTCTCACATAAACTTTACAAACTAACCAATGTGAACCTTCACGTTGCAACTAAAGATAATGTGATTTTAAGCTTAAAACACTGCACGAATACACCGAATAAGATTAAAGAGATTATCATTTAGAATAAACGTTAAAGAATCATTAATAAATGAAAACTGCATGCAACCATCAAAACAACAAATACATTCACACAATCATCATCAGCCGTTTTGAGTCTACTGCTGGACATAGGCCTCCCGTAAATAATTCCAATGCATTATATCTTGAGCACCCTGAATCCAGTTGTGCTAAACGCGCTTGATGTCATCTGACCACCTTGTTGGAGGACGTCCTCGATTACGATAAGCATCGTGTCTAGGTCTCCATTCCAGAATTTTGTTCGTCCACCTTCCATTTTTTAATATGGCACTATGCCCCACCCAGTTCCATCTCAATGTTGTAATCCTTTGAACTGCGTCAGTAACACCAGTTTTTCTCCTAATTATTGTATTTGATACTCTGTCTCTGAGGGATATATTCAGCATTGACGTCTCCATCGCTCTCTGTGCCACTTGTATTTTATTGATTACTTTTCTGGTACGGGTCAATGTTTCTGCTCCATACGTTAGAACTGGGAGTACATATTGAACAAAGACCTTCCTTTTCAAGCATATGGGAATATCTGATCTAAAGACTTCTCTCAGTTTTCCGTAAGCCGCCCATGCTAGGCCTACTCTCCTGTTTAGCTCCGTTGTTTGATTATCTCTTCCTAATTTAATCTCGTGGCCCAGATATTTATAGCTATACACCTGTTCAATTTGCGTGCTGTTGTTTTTCGCCAGTACAAGTTTGGTCACATATTGTATTTTGGAAACATTAATTTTAAGTTCAACTCGTGTACACGAGCTCTGAAGGTCTTAAAGAAGCTGGCAGGCGTAATCTACCAGGTCTGCAATAAGGACTATGTCGTCTGCAAATCTCAAGTTGTTTAGAAACTCTCCATTTATGTTGACTCCAATATTCTCCCAATTATTGTTTCTCATTGTAGTCTGCAAGAAAGCGGTGAATAGCTTAGGAGAGATGGTATCTCCTTGCCTATTACCCCTTTCGAAGGGAAATGTATTTGTGTTGCCATAATACATTCTAACTGCAGCTGTTGCGCTATTAATTATTCCGAAGAATAGTTGTGTACCTATGATCAATACTGCACTCTGTAAAAGCTCTTTGCATAGAGCTATGTTGGACTAAGTCAAACGCTTTCTCATAGTCTACAAATATTAATATCAATGGATAGTTGTATTCTGTAACTTTCTCTATTAAGGATTTTATATCTGCTATTTACGTTCTGCTCTAATGGCTGGTGAAAATCCAGCTTAGGTTCCGATCTGTTAGTAACTAAACTCATAAAGAGCTTATATAAATGAGATAACAAGCTAACAGGTCTGTAGTTTCCAATTTCTGTTACATCTCCTTTTTTGTGCAATATTCTCTGAACCATCAGAAATTAACCAATACTTTACGAATATAGCAGATATTATATCGAAATCAATAGGAGACTTTGAGCATGACATAAACTACTATCTTAGCAGGCTACCTAGAAGGTCAAGTTCGTTCTTTATGTCTCCAATAGTAGTATCTGATGTGAAAGAATGCATATGCAAATTAAAAAATTCCTCATGTGTTGACTACTATGGTTTTAACAGTAAAATTATTAAGGAATCGCTTGATACAATTGTTGAACCACTCACAATAATATTTAACAAATGCATTAACGAGGGTTACTGGCCTGATGTATTCAAAATATCAAAAGTAATTCCACTTCATAAAAAAGGAAATAAAAATGCTCCTGACAATTACAGACCTATTACCATAGTACCAACAATAAGTAAAATTTTTGAAATCTTAATTAAAGATCGTATATCAAATTATTTGGATAAAAAATCAATTATATCTAGCTCTCAATTTGGTTTTAGAAAAAAATACTCAACAACTAAAGCTTTATTAGAAGTAATAGAACATATTGTTCACGGTTTTGATGCAGGTGAACCTACTAATGGCTTAATGTGTGACCTTACAAAAGCTTTTGATTGTGTAGATATTCAAACACTATTGATAAAATTGGAGTACTATGGAATAAGGGGCACCATACATGACCTTTTAAAATCCTATCTTATAGGAGGAACACAGATTGTTGCATTTAATAATCAAGAATCTGATCCTTTACCAGTTTCAACCGGAGTACCACAAGGATCAGTTTTGGGTCCTCTACTATTCTTGATATATATAAATGATTTACCAAGTGCATTGGATAACACCAACTGTGTTCTTTTTGCAGATGACACAACCTTATTATGTAGAGGTAAAACTGATTACAGTCAGGATATATTAGAAAAATCTAAATCCTGGTTTAACTGTAACAAACTTAAGTTAAACGAGCAGAAAATCCAGAAAATCGTATTTAGTTCTCATAGATGGGTTACACCATCTGAACCAGTAAAGTTACTAGGTGTTACTATGGATACAAGGTTGAACTGGTCGCACCATATTGAACGATTGTGTAGGGGGCTCGCCTCACAGATTTTTGCTATGCGCAGATTGGCTACTTCTGTGAGTCGAGATATTCTTAGGTCAGTTTATTTTGGAATGGTTCATAGTATCCTGACATATTGCATACTTCTTTGGGGAAACTCGTCCTATGCATATAAAGTTTTCACTTTTCAAAAAGCAGCAATCCGAATTATTGACTCGGTAGAATATCGCGCCAGCTGTAAACCCTTATTTAAGAAGTATGGCATTCTTCCTTTACCTTCAATATATATATATATATATATATATATATATATATATATATATATATATATATATATATATATATATTTGAAACTTTGTTAACTATTCATAATAATATAAAAGGTGTAAAATCACATGCTGATCAACATCATTACAATACAAGAAATAAAAGTCATATCATTATACCATATTCCAGATTGTGTGTTACACAACTTAATACAATAGATTATAATCTGTATAATTGTTTTTTAAACTTAAACAAAAATATTGATATTAAGGCAATGAATTCTAAACAATTTTATAAACTAGCAAAACACTTCCTGCTGGAACACTGTTTCTATAGTATACAGGAATTTGTTTGTTTGAGCTCCTAGTGTGGTCGTTTTTAATGAAAACTATATTACGCCTTACTGAAATGTTTCTTTCTTATTTGTTATAATTTTATATATCTAATTTTACTGTATATGTTTTATTATATGTTCTTGTATTATTTCTTAGTTCTTAGTATACACAAGTAAATTATTTTTATTGTGACATGACATGTAGTGTTTACTATGTAAAAATTGTCAATAAACCTATCTATCTGTCTATCTATCATAATGGCACTATTTCATTTTTCTGGTGTAACTCTTTCAAAGAGACAGGCATTATAAAGAGTTTTTGCCGCATTCGCCTCCTAATTTTAGCATTTCACTTACAATGCCATCTTCTCCAGGTGATTTGCTGTTCTTCATACCTTTCAACGCTAATTCGATTCCCTCTTCGGTTATATCTGGAAGTTCCTCTGATCCTTGATTTTGTATGGCTGGGATTTCCACCTCTGTAATATCTCGACGATATTATGTTCTATAGTACTCGTCGATCATTTTCATAATTTCTTGTTGTTTACATACAGCATGTCGTTGCTTCATTGTCGCGTTGTTTTTTTTCTTTTCTGGATGTTGTTTCTTTTTTGGTGGTTTTGGCATCCTGTTTTAGGCTGTTGCCTCTTCAGGATGTAGTTTTTGTTTTTGTGGTGGTTGGCTTCTGGTTTGTATTTTCGTTGATCCACTGGTGTGGCATCTCGTTCCATCCACTGGTGTGAGCATGTCGTTCTCTATTTTTTAGCTTATAAATGTTCCTGGTTCATGTCTTCAACTCTCGTTTTAGAACTTTAAGGCTTTTATTTTGTTCTGTGGTATTAGTTGTTTCTTTAGTGTTAAAATCCCTTACGTCTTTCCTAACAGCTTTTTAAATGGTTTTATTTAAATTTCTTAGCTCTGCGATGTTCACTGTGTGCTTATTTTCCCTTTTTATTATTTCCTTCTTTTTTGCATTAGGTTCCTTGTGCCTTCTGTGAGTTTTTCAGTTTTCCTTTTTTGCTTAACTTGAAATTTCTTTTGTGCCTTCGTTAGAGCGTTCACTAGCCTTTCGTTAAGTTGTTCAATATCGGTTTCATCTTGCATGTCATTCTGAAGGTTTCTATTTATTTCTTCCTGGTATGCCCTTGTGTTAGTAATCGCAGTGAACGTAATATTTTTAGTCCTTGTTACCATATTTCTTTGTTCCTTCTTTTCGTTCAAGACTACCTTCGGTCTAACCATTCTATTGTCACTTCCGGTTGAAAATTGATTTATTACAGATACGTCTTGAACAGCGTCTTTTTGTTAGTAAAGATAAAGTCAATTTCGTTCTTGTTCAAGCCATTTGGTGATTGCCAAGTCCACTTTCTTTGGGGACTTTTTTTAAGTTGCACAAAAGCAATAATTTTAAATTGCACAATAATACATACAATAATAATACAATAATTTAATCTGCATATGGGAGGCATACTATGCTAAGTCCATTTTTTCAGAAAAATACATTATTGCATAACCGGGATCGCAATACCCAATATTATTCAGGGGAATACTACACTAAGTCCAAACTCTTTTAGAAACGGAATTAGACGAGAAACTATGTATACTATGTACAGTTTGCTTTAGAGGTATATAATCTTATCTGGACTTAAACTTATATTCCTCCAAATGAAATATTATGAACTGGATTGTAAGTCCATTATAGGATCATATGCTTCTCAATGAAATTATATCAAGTATATAATAAAATATACACACAAGTGTGCATTTTCGTCAAACTTAATATAGTAAGTATATTAAGTGCACATTAAGTGGAGACTGTTTACAATATTGGTTTAGTAATTTTATGGTTTACAGGCCGCCCTAATTTATTGTGTTTATGTCTTTTGGAGATTGGATTTTTATTGTTACTTAATATAATAGGTTGTACTAAGCAGTATTTTAACAGAAATCGTCATTAATGACAGGCAGGCGCATTCTGAAAATAATATTATTTAGTTTTTAACGTACCAGCATAGCAAACAGATAACAGATTTAAAGTCGAAAGCGTGTTATTTTAGAAAAGGTATTTAGTGAGTCCTTTATAGCTTTAAAAATGGCTTTTCGCAAAAGGGGTTTAATGATATTAGATTTGTCGCTCTCCGACATACCCCATATTACAAAAAGGTAAGTTTTTATCATTAAATTATTTTTTTTTCAGTCAGTCGTGAAAAATAAATGTAATATTTACTTCTTTTCTAAATGTTAATAAAAATATCTTTAATAATAATTATTTTATTTAAAGTCTGCTTCCGTTGTAACGAAACTTTCTATTGCAGGTGAAAATAAAGAAACCCTACCACATCACGAACTTAGCGATATATGCGGCCAATCAGCCATCAAATCGGCTAGTATTGCAGAAAAAAAGCATTCTAAACAAAGTTCAGTGGTAAGTGCCAAAAGTGACAGCGATGACTCAATAAAGGATAAAGATTATCAACCAGATTTGGACACTGGTTCAGATGAAAGTGGAAGTAGGTTTCCTGTACCTTTATCGGCATTTCCAGAAGGTGTGCCAAGTACATCTACTATACCAGACTCTTTAACTAATACACTAGAAGATACTATAAATCACATTGGTTTAGTGACCAAAAGAAAAGTTGTCAATAAAACAAAAATAAAGCAGACAAGAAAGAAACGAACACGACATGTTCTTAACTGGAAAGCGAATGAGAGAAAGAGAAACTGTGCTGGTAGAAGGGCCTATGTTAATTTAAAAAAAGCTGAAAACATATATAAATTTAAATCTATTGATATGGCTGAAGCAAAAGTAAATATAAAGCACAAAGTACTGACTGGTGATCTACAAAAGTGCCTTCCAACGCCATATTTGACCAATTGTATGAATTTTTATAAGTGAAAATTATGAACTTTGAATTACACTTTATACAATGGATATAATAGTGCTGCGTATTGTGTACTGTGGGATTAAACCAAAGCAAACAGAGGAGGAAATGAAATTGCTTCGGGAATTTTAAAGTGGGCTGATCTAAATATTCTCATCTGACGTCGAATGTGTAACCATATGGGCAAATAACTGGTGGGGCCAGACCAAAAACCTATGTGTAGTTATATGTGCATTTTACCTCATTTAAAGATATTCCAAACTACAAGTAATAGATTGTAAATTTCTTCTAAAGGAGCACACGCATATGGAATCCGATTCAGTACACGCTAATATTGAAAGGAAACGGAAAAAACTACCCACTATATGGAACGAATGATTTTAAAAATGCTTATATTCTTCAATAGGTCCATTTATTAATCGGAAAATAAATACTTGTAGAGATGCATTTCAAATTTCAAAATTAGTGATCTTACGTGTCACCAAAGAAAATTTTGGAATGCTTCAATATAAAACTTCATTCAACCGTGACACTTTTCAAATGGTTGACTTAAGACGAAATAAAAGAGGTGATATCATTTTGCCAGAAACTTTACCACAAAAGAATATGCAATTGCTTCCTATATCAACAAAAAAATATAGTGATTTTATGGACTTACTTTTATAGTTCCCATCGTATGATTTCTATAAAAATCTGTCACATTCAAACGAAGAATCCGAGTACCCTAAGGATAATGATGACATGTAATTTGAGAACTGTATGTTAATTATAACTAAATAAAATAAATAAAGAAATATTGATGAGTTTTTTTACACAGATACACAAATATAAGGAGTCTTATAATTTAGAGGTAATATATCTTAAGTCCATTATTTTATTATCTTTAAACACTTACATTACTTTTATAATACCACAGCAAACTATATATAATACTATTTTTAAATACCGACAATAGTTTCCGCTACAATTATTAATTACTTCTCATTTTTTGAACATACATCAAATATAATGTTTAAGTGCTCCTCCTGTAAAATTTGAAAATGTGACTTAGTATACTATGCTTCCCATCAGAATTATATTTCTATATATTTGATTTGAGTAAAACTTAGCAGAGTAGTTAAATATTTATTTTGATTATTTTTAAGCTTCCGAATCCAATCCAATGAAAGTCACATTCCTTAAACGAAAATTAAGACGGTGAAGTGGAGAGAGCTTTTCTTCCACCATCAATAAACAAGGCTATATTGTCCGCTCGGCAAAAATGCTCGTCCGAGTAACAAGGGGTTGATTCTGGCGCGCGTCAGCTGTGCAGGCACTTAGCTCCGGCTTACACTGTATCCGTCCGTAAGCCAGAGGGCCCTAAGGGCCCAAATCCCGCTACTACCGCCGCCGACTAAATCTTTTGCTCTGCCGGCCTCGGCCTGTCGAAAAAACCTGCCGCCGCATTTCGCACGTATTAATTCAAACGCGCCATTCCGAATGCTAAATTCGGGAATAAATTGACTTGCATCCGTACCAATTTTATTTTATTCCATTCAGATGCCGCCTTCACGGTCTCCGGCGTTACCATCGTCGAGAGAGGTATCATATAAATCAGAGAATGTGTTAGGGAAATTTTCTCCTTCTCTGCGGGATTGTTTTTAAAATGCCTCTTTCTGCAGATGGCTGCCTTATAATAGAGGTATGATTGAAATCACCGCAAACTGGAAAATTTACAGGATAAAGTTGGAGAAAATCATCCGGATTCATTGCATAAATAAATGTATGAATTTTTATTAGAATATGATTTTTAGAGTAGTGCAAAGTACACGCACGAGTAATATTATAAACAAGGAATTTAGAAAGAAAATAACTGTTTAAAACTTAATTAAATTATGATCGACTGAAACTATTCTCGCATACTCCTCATGTCAAACCATACTGTTTTTTAAAATCAGTCACCTTGTAGACTAACTAATAAATTAACTGAATGACGAAGTTTTCAGTTGCGTTTCAAAGAAACAATCAATTTGTAAGCCTCAGTAAACAACAAAGATATAATACGAAGATTATGAAGGTAATAATTAATAGGTTGACATCAAATCTAGACTTCTATCAACCTTGCGAGTAAGCAGGATTTAGAGTTGTACACGGAACAAATGATCATTTGCAAACCATCAAGCCATTAATTGAAAAAATCATTGCCTAATAGATCTTTGATACTTGTCTTTACCAAACAATCGAACTGAAGAAAAGGATAAACCTAGCCTGGATTGCATTTGAAAACATGAAAGATATTTTTAGGTCAAAGATTCCAATGTAACTGAAAACAAAAATATTTAATCAGTACATTCTGCTAGTGACGACCTATGGAGCAGAAACCATAACAATCATAAGAACAATAGTGAAAACACTACAAGTTGTAGAAAGAGCAGTGGAGAGAATAATAATAACCGTTTCTCTACGTGATAGAATACAGAATACTACTGTTTGCAGAAGAACAGGAGCACCAGATGTTATTGAAAGTATAACAAAGCTAAAATGGAGCTGGGCGGGTCATATAGCAAGAGCACTTGAAGATTAGTAGACGAAAAGATTTTTCGAGACCCTGAATATAACAGAAACGACGAGATGGATCAATGACATAAAAAGGGTAACTACAAATTGGATTTAGAGGGCATAGAATCAGACTAAGTGGAAAAGCATAGGTATATAGCAGAGGCCTATGTTAAGCAGTGAAAGTTGGAGGGTAGATGATAATGAATAAAAAACGATCTTGATGTTGGAATTAAATCTTGTGTTAAAAATATCCAATTGTAGTGATAAATCACCTGAGCTTGTTTCTAGGATTAAAAATATTACTTAGATACCCTACAAATTAAAAAACATCGTGGAAAGAAGGACCCCAACTCCCTAATCGCAAATGTAACGCTTCAATTGACAAAGGTTGAAAAGCCATCTAATAAAAAATACATACACACTAGAGAATTAATGAGAGATGAAGAGCTTAGATCTACATACAGTAAGCACATCAACGAAAACTTGAGAAACGTACAAGGAAATTGCATAAAGGAAACCTGTGAGAAAATAAAAATAGTCGAGGCTGACGAAGTAGTCGCAAGTAAAATAAAAAGAAATCACAAAAACGAGTGGATAACGGAAGAGATTTTTGATCTAATGGAGCAACGTACACAAGACAAAATAAATCAGAATCAACAGGAATACAAGGAAATCCAATTCAATGTACGATAAGGGCAATAATTAAAAACGCAAAGGAAAGCTGGATGAAAGAACGTTGTGAAGAATTGGAATCACTACAAGAAAAGGGAGACAGCTTTGAACTACATAAAAAGGTCAAAAGAAACACAATGAGACTCACCTGAAGAATGATCAAGGAAACTACGTTCATACCCAGGAAGAACTAGCTAAAATCTAGGTAAACTATGATTCGCCCTCTTTGCGGATAATAGACCGAATCTGCCAACTACTAACTTACCCACGGAAAATTTATCTGGCCCTCCCATTATTCGCGCCGAGGTTGAGTACGCTATAAAAGTAGCAAAACTAAGCAAGGCCCCTGAACCGAATGTAGTTACTCAGGAAGCCATAAAACTGTTGGAAGATGATAACATCGACATGCTGGTAACAATTTTTAATGCAATATATAACACCGGCTACATTCCAATGGATTAGCTTTATTCAACCTTTATAATGATCACTAAATCACAAAGAGAGACAAAATGCAAAAACAACAGACATAAGTTTAATGAGCCATAACTTCATAACCTGGTTTCCGCTAGTAGATGTGTCAAATTCCTATGTTTACCAATCTTTTGAAATTTGCCCATTTTGCTGTTGTTTTCGTGTTGTTGTATGATCTTCTTAGCACTTAAACAAAGCTTTTTATCATAAGAAGTATATAAAGTACACCTACTTCAAGAAAGAAAGACAAGAGATCTGTATCAAAATAGATAACTCAACAATTGACAAGTTGGCTTGTTTTCACAGTGTTAGAATTAAAAGAAATGAATGTGATCTTTGAAGATTGCGGCTGGAAAAAGCATGGAAAAATTTGGATACCAATCAAAACTTCCAAAACTCTATCACCTCCCAAACTTCTAAAATTATTTTTCTACAGATACAATGGAAACTGTGAAAGTATGTGTGGTTACCGACAAGTAGGCCTCAAATGCTCTGCAGTGTGCCTCAATTGTTTTGGTCAAACCTGCAGTGACATTATGGAACTATTAACATTGATCGAAAAATTCGAAGGTGGTAAATTCGAAGGTGAATTACCACAATGACACCAATTCTAACTTCCGGTCTTTCGCAAACATTCACCTTCGATATTGAATTAGATCCCGAACTGCAGCCTGGATTATCAAAGAAAATGAAGAAACAATAGCTGAAACAAATTTTTAAATATATAATAATGCTCAATATTATCTAGCCTGGAAATTGTCAGTGAGTTAAGAATAATGTAGATACCACTTAAACAATGCGCCTCCAGACTCTACCTTATAGTTATAGGTGGTCGGGAAAAAGGTTGATAATAAACGAATAATACCATAGGAATGATACAAAATAATATAAAATAATATATAAATAAAATATAAAATAAAAATATATAAAAAAACTACGCCTACTGG